TAACTGTTACTGTATCGTGTCACTGATTTAAGGAGTTTATTACTACACAATCATGTTAACAACTGTTACTGTATCGTGTCACTGATTTAAGGAGTTTATTACTACACAATCATGTTAACAACTGTTACTGTATCGTGTCACTGATTTTAAGAGCATATTACTACACAATCCTGTTAAGTTATGTTACTGTATCATGTCACTGATTTAAGGGATTTATTACTAGACAATCCTGTTAACAACTGTTTCTGTATCATGTCACTGATTTAAGGGATTTATTACTAGACAATCCTGTTAACAACTGTTACTGTACCGTGTCACTGATTTAAGGGTTTATTACTAGATAATCCTGTTAACAGCTGTTACTGTATCGTGTCACTGATTTAAGGGGTATATTACTACACAATCATGTTAAGTAATGTTACTGTATCGTGTCAATGATTTAATGGGTTTATTACTAGACAATCCTGTTAACAACTATTACTGTATCCTGTTAGTGTTATTAAGGTCCATATGGTGTTAGAAACACGTAATGAACACTATAGTAATGCGTTGTCATTAAGTTTAGGGAACTAACTCTCTTTATAGAATGTTTTATATGGATTAGAAAGATGTAGTAATAGTAAGAAACTTGATGTGTTTTCTGATCATGTTCTTAAAATGTATTTTGATGTTATAATCATTTTGAGATTGTCTTGTGCTAATGATTTCTAATGTTTTCTATCGGTGTTAATAATATTTTCATAGTTATTGTTCGTACACTAAGTTTATGCCTTAATGCAAAGTAAGTGTGGCTATGTTTGACTATGGAGCCACACTTACTTTCTATTACACTAATATATCCGTTATGTGTAGCTATGGATATCTTAAACACATGTCATCATTGTCATCATACATAGTCAAACATGGTGTTTAAGATATCCATAGCTACACATAACGGATATATTAGTGTAATAGAAATTAGGTGTGGCTATGTTTGACTATGGATGCCAACACGGATATCTAAAAGCATACATGACGGATATATTTAGTACTTTAGGTATCCATAACTACAGACGACGGATATATTGTTGATTAATGGTGTCTCTTTCATTTTCAGAAATCCTTTCTTCAGGAGACAAAAATGTGCGCGTTTTCTTGACTGTTTCCTCTCTAGCATCGATACTGCCATCTGGGGAAATGATAGAGAGGCAGCTGGAATTAAACTGGGTTGGAGGCGATAGGAATACTGGAGATATAGTAGCGTTATATAACCATAATCCAGAAAAAAGTTTAGATAGCCCTGTGGTGACAATAAATCCGTTACTGTACGTGGTAGGCTGTTACAGAACCAATGTTCAGTTCCCTCACTTGCGTTTTACCTCAAATAATCTGACATCAGACTGTCTGGGGTTTTGGGTGGTCTACCTCAGGCAGGGCGAAATATTGGGGTCTTCTTGTTTACGTGCTCGTCCTTTCTGGATGAAGGAGAACGATCGGAAGATCCGGAACATCCCACTTGTCAAGCTAATGATCCCTGGTACACATAATTCTGGGAGCTATCGACGCTATAAGGGTTTAGAAAGCGAAACAGTCTTCTTACGATACCTTTACAACCAAGAAGAGACCATTTTCAACCAGCTGGCTTACGGCATCAGGTTTCTAGATCTTAGAGTTGGATTTTACCCTCACACCAACGAGAAGTTCTGGATTAACCACCGTCTTTTCTCGGTCAACAACACCCTGGTGACCGTGTTACAGGATGTGGCAAGTTTTCTTCAAGCTACACAAGAAGTTGTCTTAATTGATTTCCACAACTTTCCCACTGGCTTCTCGTATCGACCAGAAATCCATCGCTGGCTTATTAGACTTGTTCTTGAACACTTGGGCCCCTATATGGTTCCTCGGCATGTTGGTCCCAGTGTGACACTAGGGACTCTGTGGAACATTGGAAAGCGCCTTCTGGTTAGCTACAACAGTCGTCATTATATTTCTAATGGTCTTCTCTGGCCAGGTGTGTCACATATCTGGGGAAACAAGCAAACTGTGAGGGATCTGAAGATCTTCTTTGATGGTGCCTTCCGTCAATCCAACTACTCGACCCTTTCATCCGCCATGGCTGAACTGACTCCTACAATAGCCACGTTTTTCACAGAACCACGCAAAGGTTTACGTGGATTTGCTCACGACGTGAACAGGAAAATAACACGCTGGTTCAGAGACCTCTGGTGGCTACAGTCC